AAAAAAAAAAAAGAAACCCATTTATGATTAAGAATTTGGACTCTCTAGTCTCGACTCAAACTGAACCCAACCCAACGTTCAATTTGGGCTGAGCCGTAAAACTGGTTCACTATATACGTTTTGTCCTCGATCTTCTATAAAATTATTATTTGAGTCCCAATATTTATACTCTCGGAAACAACTGGTATTCCATAAACCTACGATACGAAAGTATAGTCGTGTCCCTCTCTCTTTTTATTTCTCAAGGAGAAGTCCTTTTCTTGCTCTTTAAATTGATCTTTTTATTTATTATGTAAAATTTTCTTTTATATGCCATTGGTACTTAAATAGTTATCAATTTTTTGTTTTTTATTTTTACATGTATCTTTAAGAAAATGTAATTATAGAAGATATAAATATAATCTAAAATTTAATTAAATCAAATTACTCAATAAAAATTATATATAATAAATTTTAATTTATGACTCGAAACCCGCCCATGGAAAAAAAGAATACATCTCAAACTGACAAACTGACTCGAAAGGTCAGGTGCAATTTATCATTCTTATATAAAAGTGTTATTTAAAATTGTATATATTTTTAAAAAGTCTAGAACTAGGTAATAATGAAAGCACTACTTTTATTTATTAATAGAAGTAATCATTTTTTATCATTTATTTTACTTCATCTATATATCATGTAATTCAAATTTAATATTTTTTATTTTTAATGAAAAAAATAATTACTTGAATTATTTAAATTATTTAAAAAAAACTATTTTTGTTACATAAGAAAAAGGTAATAATAGGAAAAATCTTGTTGAACCGTCATAACTTTTCAAAGGGCTGGGATTCCTAGAAAAGTAGAAGGTAGAAAATCAAAGGACAGCCACTAGAAACCAAAATTGTACTACCGGAGAAAATTCACCAGAATTAATAATTACGTACAAAAAATATTTTTTAAAAAAAAAGTAGAAAAAAAAGTAATAAAGTGCATTCAACAAAAATCCATCGCCTTCGCAGTAGCATTGCCCTTCTCTCACCAAAAAATATATTTCGCCTTACTATTATTATAAAAACCCTTTTCTCGGAAAACCCAAACAAACACTCCCCCTTTTTTTATCTTCTTCAAATACTTTCGTTTTTTCAATTAGGGTTTCGTTCATCCCTTCCGCATACCTTTCGGCTAAAACCCTAATTCCTTCCGATCTCTGCTTTCTAGTCGTTACCACCCATTTCCCGCCAATTTTGGCTTCGTTTGAGCCCGTTGACTACCTGTATTTCAAATACCAGCCGTTGGATAAGCTGCATTCTGCGTTTTTTTTTTTTTTTTGAATTTGACTTTGACTTGTCGGTGTTGATATGTCGACGGCGGAAACGGAGAGGAGGGTCGAGGAGGAGGGGGAGAACAAGGGAGGGGAGTTGTTGTTCTGTGGTGGTACTTGTTGGGACATTATTGGTCGTAAGAAAGGTCCTGTTGAAGGCAATTTGGTCTCTCCTACTCGCCTCCGCCCCCTTGTTGGTGTGGATATCCGGTTTGTTGCCTCCGGTTGTGGTAAGAATATATGCGTACGGTTTTTTATTTTTTGCAATCAGAGCATGAGCACTCTTAGGCCGCATGTTTTGTTCAATTTAGCTTTTGTGAAATGGGGTTTGATTGTTTTCTATGGAATTGTTGGTTGCAGCATCTTGTCATTGTGTGGCATTGGATGTTGAAGGGCGTTGCTATACATGGGGCCGCAATGAGGCATGATTAAATTAAGCCCAGCTATTATATGATCTTTGGTTACTGCATTTAGTTACTTTTAATCTAGTTTATTTATATTAGCTGATGGAGCTCAATTTGTCTGTGCAGAAAGGTCAACTGGGTCATGGAGATAAGATTCAGCGTGATAGGCCAACTGTTGTTTCTGGACTCTCAAAGTAAGTTCTGTTTTGTTTTGTTAGTTTTACTAACTTCTATCTAGTTAAATTATTAACTCAATTAGGTAGCTGGTTTTGTTATAAGCTATCTTACCAGCTAATTGCACTTAGTTATGAGAATGTTCTTTTGTAGCCTACGGTTTGTGTGAGAGGGTCTGTAACTGATTACTGGTTTTGAAGGTATAAAATTGTTAAAGCTGGGGCTGGAAGGAGCCATACAGTGGTAGTCACTGATGATGGAAATTCCCTAGCTTTTGGCTGGAACAAGCATGGACAGCTGGGCTCTGGTTCTACAAGAAATGGTATGTTCAGTGTAACAAGTTTTTGGACCAAGGAATTAGCCTTGGTTTCTAATTATTTCTTCAGAGCAAGAGTGCACACTGATGAAAAACCTTTAATATTGGCGATCTTTATGAATCCATGTTACATTTTTGCTTTAGTATACTTATATGCTTTTCTACTTGTAGAAAACGCGTTATCTCCTGTTAGCTGTCTGGTGTCTGAAGTGAAAACTACTGCCTGTGGAGCTGACTTCACTGTTTGGTTATCCTCTAATGAAGCAGAATCAATATTGTATGGTTTGTGGATTTGCTTTTAGTCTGTTTTGTTAATTTACTTCCATGACCATGTGATTCTCAATTTTTGTGGTTTATCACTTATTTTCACCTTATGTTGGTTTCTAGAACTGCAGGCCTTCCCCAGTATGGTCAGCTTGGGCATGGGACAGACAATGAGGTACTTGGACAAAGCTTATTTTTATGATTTTTGCATTTTTCAGTCTCTTCTTTTTCTCTCTATCTATTGTATTTGTGCATCAATTACTTTGTTATTATTGCTGAATGTGATAAGTACCACAAGTTTCACTTATTATGTCATATTTTCTCTGACAGAAATGTCTCGAACTATGATCTTGGTAGTTGTTTTGGTCTTGCAATTTGATTTATCCACAAATACAAGCATTATTGCTGGAGTTTGTAAATGGTGAATTTAA